ATGCCTTCACCCACGCAGAAAATGTTTGTGTCACAACATGCCCCCTCTATACCGTGTGAGTTTTGTATATAATATTTTTTCATATTATTACAAATACAGGCAATGTTCAAAGTGGACACAGTTATTGCCCCACCCTTTATTTACAGGGTGTCTCAAAAGTGCTTCTCTTCCGGGAAATGAGGAGTTGCTGGGGTAATTTGAAACCACTTTTTCCTCAGCGAAAATGTTAGGTGCGGCTTCGTTAACGAGATATTAACGAAAAAGCCGGACCAATCAGAGCGCGAGTTTGCCGGCCGAGTTCCCGCGCTAGCGGTGGCTATGCGCTACGCTTCTACTATGACGCTCCGAACAAGCAAGTTGGCATGCATCCCAGGAAACCGCGTATAATAGCAAATAAGAAAAACATAACAAATCGAACTTTTTATCATCTTTCGTTTTATTTATTTCCTTCTCAAATAACGTATTAACGAAAAGGTAATGTAATAGTGATCGCAGTTCGATATTGACATAAAAATCCGTAGTTCAGCTACAGTGATATTGATTACAAATAATTGTCTTTAAGAAACGCGAGAAAAAATATACGTACGGAAACTTGCAGAATTATTGCCGTGAAAAAGTCATAAATTGCGTTAAATGAAAAAAATAATAATGAAGAATAAATTGAATAGAACTCACCCTTTCGGAAATCCACCTGCAGCTTCTAGACCTATGTCAGTAGGTCACTGTACCGATCCTGCTCATCGACGGACGAAATGGTTTATGGTGGGTGACAGCTAGTGCACAGCTGATCACAGGTATACGGCACTACCGAAAGACGTAATGACAAGTGCGGTCGGGTCAACGCACTGACGGTGTTTATTTCACTATATGGTCATTAACACTGTACACTTGTTAGAATCATATTATTTAATTTAAGTAGTTTTGTTATTTATCGTGTTGCTCCTACGTTAATTTATTGTTATCGAGGAATGTGTTGTTCCTACGTTAATTTATTGTTATAAAGGAATGTGTTCTTCCTACGTTAAGAAAAATACCAAAATATTCGTGCGACGAATACATGTTTCACTGTCACTGAATGTCACGAGATACAGTCTGTGATTTTTCCTAAGGTGCTTTTTCTACCCCCAAAATTCCGTAGTAAAACTTTAGGTTGGAATATGTTAGGACCAATGACAATTTAGGACGGTTTCCCGATTGCGGACCGCCTACGTCACACAACTCGCAAGATGCGAGTGGGCAAAAAACCATTGCACAATAACTGCTCCTCTCGAAACCACCCTTGAAGTCCCATAAATGTACCAACGAGAGTGCCAGCCAGATCCTCCAGGAACAATGTCCTGACTCACAAGGCAACGCAACATCTGACTGTTGGCCATCTCTAACTTTCACGCATCTGTTTCACATAAACGTTCCTGTAGGCCATCGATAGCCGAAAGACCCACCGTGGTCTTTCGCGACTGTGCAACGCCAGGTCTGTTTCGTCTCACGGACCCTCCTTCAAGATCGCACGTAGGCTGAAAATCCTTGTAAATTTTCCAACGGTCCGTGAGCTACAAGGTTTCGGTTTGCGACTCCACTTAAAAGACATTGACGCTAACTAACGCACATGTGTTTTGCAGAAGTACCATCATACAATTTCACAAGAGAAAGAATTTGTTCAAGAAATACAGCCTATTGCATTTCATTATTTTCTTGAAAATGGCTTGTGCTTATGAATTTATATCTCAAAAAATATTTATCGTATTCAGTTGATTCTTATATCGTTTCAATCGAGAAGGATCAACCTTTGTGAATAAATTTCTTTCAAGTCAAAAAATCATTTTTAAAATCAATAAGGTTAAAGCAATATCAAAGTGTTAATGATAATTTATAATACACACAAATATAAAAAAATAATAATATAATTATAACGTTTAGTGTAATTAATAATTTTGTACGTACAGAGATCCAGATTCTTTCAATGAGATGAAACGCAATATCGTTAAAATCATAAAAATAAATGATCGTAAAAAAAATATAAATATACAAAACAAAGAAAGTATAAATATTTAATTGTTAAATTATTAATTACACTATACATTATAATTATGTTATTATTTTTTTAGCAGTTCAATGTTGCGTTGCCTTACGAGTAAGGACATTGTTCCTGGAGGATTTGGCTGGCACTCTCGCTGGTAAGTCTATCGGATTTCAAGGGTGGTTTTGAGAAAAGCAGTTATTGTGGTGCATTTTTTTGTTTGCCCGCTCGCATCTGGCGAATTGCGTGACGTAGGCGGTCCGCAATCGGGAAACCGTCCCAAATTGTCATTGGTCCTAACATATTCCAACCTAAAGTTTTACTATGGAATTTTGGGGGTAGAAGAAGCTCCTTCGGAAAAATCTCAGACAGTATCTCGTGACATTCAGGGACAGTCAAACATGTATTCGTCGCACGAATACTTTGGTATTTTTCTTAACGTAGGAACAACACATTCCTTTATAACAATAAATTGACGTAGGAACAACACATTCCTCTATAACAATAAATTAACGTAGGAGCAACACGATAAATAACAAAACTACTTAAATTAAATAATATGATTCTGACAAGTGTACAGTGTTAGTGACCGTACAGTGAAATAAACACCGTCAGTGCGTTGACCCAACCGCACTTGTCAATACGTCTTTCGGTGGAGCCGTATACCTGTGACCAGCTGTACACTAGCTGTCACCCACCATAAACCGTTTCGTCCGTCGATGAGCAGGGTCGGTACAGTGACCTACTGACACAGGTCTACAAGCTGCAGCTGAATTTCCGAAAGGGTGAGTTCTATTCAATTTATTGTTGATTATTATTTTTTTAATGTAACGCAACCTATGACTTTTTCACGGCAATAATTCAGGATGCTTCCGTACGTACATTTTTCTGCGGGTTTCTTAAAGACAATTATTTGGAATCAGTATCATTGTAGCCCGTTACTGAACTACGGATTCTTATGTCAATAACGAACTACGATCACTATTACATTACCTTTTCCTTAATACGTTATTTGAAAAAGAATTTACTAATGCCTTCATCTCTATCTTTAAATAATTATTATTTTCGATTCTGTTTAAAAAAATAATTGTGTATTCGTCTTTTTACGTTACACATGATTTTCTTACATTTGTTTCATACATTCATCACTTTAAATGACAAACGAAAGATGATAAAAAGTTCGATTTGTTCTGTTTTTCTTATTTCCTATTGTACGCGGTTTCCTGGGATGCATGCCAACTTGTTTGTTCGGAGCGTCATAGTACAAGCGTAGCGCATAGCCACCGCTAACGCGGGAACTCGGCTGGCAAACGCGTGCTCTGATTGGTCGGGGTTTTTCGTTAATATCTCATTAACAAAGCTTCAGATAACATTTTCGCTAAGGAAAAAGTGGTTTCAAATCATCCCAGGAACCCCTTATTTCCTGGAAGAGAGACATTTTTGAGACACCCTGTATGTATACATCTACGGGTTAGACACGTGAAGCCTGCAATCAGAAAGATTATCATCATCGATGAATATGATATTATTCATAAATTCGTGACATCTAAGCAGAAATAATATTCTGTGTCATATTTTTTCAAAGTTCAAACATATAAAAAATGAAACATGTACCTACTTCACCTAATATTGCTTACTGTATGAAAGAAAATTGTAACGGCAATCAACTCATACGACTTTTTAAAAAAAATCTAATTTAGAAATAAAATGAAATACATTAGCTGAATTACGCTGTATACTTGACCTATATAATTCAAACTTTTGAACTAATTCAATTGCTAATTACTGTTAGCATCAGTATAATTGTATAACGTAATTTTCAATCTTTCATAATGTAGCCTATCTGGGATGAATTGGTACAATTTCGTGCCGTCTTTTTCTAAAATAGCAATTGTATAATGCCTCAAAGCAACGTTGTAGGTATCTATCGCCACTATAAAACCATTCATAACACCTTTGCCTAAAAATGGCATGCACCGACCTAACTTATTGTTAGACGTGATTTCGTGACTCTGATTAAAGGATCTCTTGTTTACTCCTGCCAAATAATTTTCTCAAGAGCCGCAAGAGGCGCTACTATTCACAAATTAGTTCGCGACTTCCGCTGGCTATAGCCGACGCTCGTATCTGCGGGTTGTTTCATGGCGGCCGGCTATGGTCGGTCTTAGGGGCGAAAGGGTTACAGATAATGATAATTGCTGTAAACTTGGTATTTGGAATTTACTAAATAAATAAGGCAAAAGTTTCAGGAATATCTCATTCTGTGTTATATCAGTAGAAGGAAATGCTTTCTTGTACAGGATGTGAGAAAATAAAAGATAATTTACTAATATATTATATACTTTATATAAAATAATTCTTTTATAACTAGTATTTTCCATTGAAATATTGCTGTTGTATTTTAATAGCGCAGTAACTGTAAAAGAAAGGAATATATCACTTAAAATAATAGTATATATGACATTGTTTCAAAAATGTTCACATGCACTTACATACTATCTAGAAATATAAAGATAATAAAGTTCCTGATGACAAATTGTAATCTACTAACTCAGTGACATTTTTATACCTTCTTCTATTTAATTACAATACATACCATAATGGCTTTTCGTGTCCATAGCGTGCGTGATTCCTTACATCTTCAAGAAACTGTCACATTGATTCAGCAAGACCGTCCAAGTTGACTTTTACTAACAGACGAATTCTGTTTAAACACACTCATGCGAATAAAATATCGCGTAATTTACGAATCTACAGCACAAAACTTTTCTGGGCATGAATTTTCTGTTACACAAGCCAAGGTTATGCGTATTCATACAACACAGTATCCATAATTGAAAACAACACACAACGAGAGTCAAGGTAGAATCACACGATAATGTAAATTTGTAAGGTTTGGAAGCGATCGATAGATCGATTCAGAGCGGATACAAACGAAAGATTGATGTATCCCGATAACCAATAAATGGCTACATCGACGCAGGTAACCGGCGAACAGCCAGCGTGCGGTCGGTGGGCTACTCGGACCTCTTCGTTCTTAGCAAGAAGGATATGTGGGACGTGCTAAAGGAGTACCCTGCTGCACGGATCCGCCTTGAAGCAATTGCAGTGAAAAGATTGGAGAAGTACAAAAGGGCACCTTTGGAGAAGGGTAAGAATTTTTTAATGTCATCTTCGTAATTTTAATATGAAATTTTATAATGTTGAGCACCATTAGCTGCTGTGCGAGTTTTGTATGGTCCACCTAAATATCTCTTTTCTTATTAATGACACAAGAAATGTTTGAAGCACAATTTGAATGGTTTCGAAAAAGAAATACCGTGTACAAAAAAACTTTCCGCCTTTTTTTAAGGTCACCGGTACTTTTTTGCAGGTCAGCACATATTTTTTTCCTTGCTGTTTGGAGAAGGGGTGAAAATGCATTCAAACCTGCCTGAATTATGACTTTCAGATGCCCTTAAACACCAAAAAGGTAATCAAGTTTTAACATAAAACCTACCACGCCAGAAGACGTGGTGAATCACGCAATTGGAGCTTGTGCTGCTATCATTTCAGAGACAAATGAAAGAGCATCGCAATTCGTGATTACTCGTTAGAAAGTGTGTCGCTGACGATGAACATCTCTTCAGGCATTTATAACATAAAACAGTAAGTTCACACATGTAAGACCCTAATGTCACAATTTCAGAATTTGATCATTGCTTTGGTGTTCAAGATGCCTATGAAAATACATAGAAAAAATTACCTTAACAAAATTTTTACTTCCACGATATTCGTCTTTCGAAACCATTCAAAGTATACTTTAAATATTTCTCATTTTATTAAAAAGAAAAGAGATACTTAGGTGGCCTCTCCCAGCGCACAAAAATATGTACCCAAAGTCAATATTAATTTAAGAAAAGTTATATACAATAAACTAGTGCTTCGTCGGATATCTCGATGTGAGCTTTTTCCACCACTTTCAGAAATAAGAATACTTTTTAAAGCGAACTGTGTATAATTTCTGAACTAAAAGCATCCTAGTCTAAACTATTTTAATCAAAGTCTACATTAACATCAATTGTAATTTTTAATTCTGACTTTAACATTAATTAACTACTTAAAATATGTATAGTTACGTATAGAATGGGCAGATATTTCTTCGAATAACTGTAGAATCATGTGTTGTCCGTTTATCTTGCTGGAAGCCAACGATTTATGTTACGATATTATTAATACTTACTATAAAAGCTACCATATATTGGCGTTGTCGGTTATCGGTGATACCACGGCAGTCAATGTGTTAGACCTCGACGCTGACACAGGTGTATAGCACGGTCAAGGATTTTTAGATTTCTATAGAAAGTAGAAAGAAAAATTGTCCTTAATAATTCCCAGCCAAATATTCGAAGTACACACTGTTTTAAGGAACCTGCATGACCATCAACATGTTATAAACCGAAAGTTTCGACACGAAAACATCGCACTTGGATTAACACGTTCACTATACCGTGCATCATACATGATGCAGTCTCAGTTTCTGCCACTCCCGTGCTAAGAAACTCACTTGTGTTAACTCTTATACGATAAGAAGTTGTTTAAAGTGTTCTTTACCAACCCATAAAACGATGTTGGTGGAACCTCATTTTAAGCGATTCTAACAGTCATTAGATTATAGTTTTACCTATCTTTTTACTTTGAGCTATTCTGTACATAGAATGAAAAAATTACGTTTTTATTGATCTAAAATGAAATTCATATTAATTTTTGTTATATTCGAAAAAACTTTTTTATTTAGTTTTAATTTTTTGCGCTTTCTGTCCCGTGTAACATGAAATTCATATAACGCCGAACGCATCTTTCACGGTATAGGGGGCATTACTGTTGACACGTACATCACCAACAATGAAGGCTTTCTTTTTTAACCCTTGACCCTTTTTTGGAAGCTGGAATGTACAGGCTTAAATAGGACCGTCATTTCCGTGCTGGTGCAATGACTCAGATTTTCCGGGAATTATAATTCCGATTAAAGGATGCATATGAAATTTTTGGCCGATTTTTGGGTTTACAAAGTACTACGGATGTATCCTCGATAGTTACATTTCGAATCTGACTTTCATAGTTGAGGAACGTATTAGCAAAATCGGGTTAATCTCCTTCGAGCAATTAATAACTATACAGTACGTAAATTTACTGTTAGACATTATTCTTACGTGACTCCGCACTCTCTTGGAGCGTGAACATCAGGGAGGTACAATTAGTTTCCGCAACACTAAACACTTTAACAATTGTAAAGTCCTACGACTGATTAGAATATATGTAGAGTGGCGACCGCACGGGACGGAGGGGGCACACGATTTCGCCCGACGGGACGCGAGGGCGTTGTGCGTAGCGAGGAGCAGTGTGCGTAGCGGGGACGCGCAATTCCGTAAGAGAGGATAAAGAATAACATTGTGCCTTTAAAGGGTGATAGAGATATGTTTATTAGTTCTTTTTTTGCATTTTTTAATTGCTGTATTCTTTAAGTCTAATATATAGTTTTAAATAATTGTAACAGTTTATTTAACGATCCCACATATATTTGTATCACTTTTTCTGTAAACTCAGAATTTAAATCATTTATAAGCCCTGAATCGTATCCGAATTTCCAGCTTGAGTAACACCCACAACAGTAATTTTTGTAACACTCACAACTGGAGAAAAAAATGAAAAGGGTCATGCTTTCCTATGAGAAACGATTCACTCTAGATTGACCGGATAGTACATATTTTTCTTTCCATGATTTGTGGAAAGATGAAATCATGTTACAAAACAGGGAAATGGGTGGTGGTGCTATTATGACACGGACGACAATAGGGCATCATGGAATAACAGATGTGATGCTTATTTGTCAAACACTGAATAGCAGCATATACGTATGTTAGAAATATTAGCCCGAGGTCTTTGATATTTAAAAGAACTACGCTCTTTCGAGGTTCTGGGGTAAGTGCCCCGTCTCTTGACACAGTCCTCTTGTCAGAGAGTCCACCGACTCTCCCCACTGTGTGGCCAGATCCTTTATTTTAAATCTTTGATCACACGCGCCTCTGTTGCGACCGGCAACAGAGCGTCGGGCCCTTTGCCGTTACGCAACACCCGGACGCAGAGGCCGCAGGGAATCAACAATGTATCGCCACTCAAGCCACCACCAAACCTAAACACTGATGATATGTTTAAGTTTTTGGCTATTGGCAATGCAATCTCTTCTCAAGAAGCCGACGCCACGTCCATCTCCTTTCGTAAAAGAATTTACGCTAACACGTAAAAATGCTCAAGGAACAATTGTCAAAGATTACTTTAAAACACATAAAATAAACATTCTATGTATTTCCCTGTTCAGGGACACTAGCTTGAGAAGTATATTCCAAGGGAAAGCAGTTAACAATGTTAAGAAATTAGAAGTGAACATTCAAGAGACGTGTAGGTGTTTAAACAAAAAACTATTAAAGGATTGTATAGGTCCCTACCGAACTGAATGTTAGAGACTGTACAAAAAGTGATTATATACACTGTTAATAAATAAAAAAAATAATCTATACAGGGTGTAACATAAATGTTAGAGGACCCGGAAATGGGAGACTCGTGAGGTGATTTCGAACAAGTTTTTCCTTAGCAAAAATGTTATCCGAGGCTTTGTTAACGAGATATTAACAAAAAACCCCGACCAATCAGAGCGCGAGTCTGCCGGTCGAGCTTCCGGGGCAGCGGTGGCTACGTGTTGCGAGTAGTGATGGGTAATCGAGCTCAGACTGAGTCGGTCGGTATCGCGGCGGTGTGTACGCGGCGGTACGGTTGCTCGGCGGTGCGTACGCGGTGTACAGTCGGTTGGTTGGGGTACGGCATGGGGAGGGAGAGAGATAGCCTCAACCGAGGGCGGCCAGCGGCCGTTCAATAGGTCGGGTGGGGGTACCCTGGGTGTCCCTACCCCCTTAGGTGATTGCCTACAGGCCACTGTCGAAGGACCAGGGGTAAAGGCTTGCCTACGTGTGATCGGACAGCGTCCGATTTACACGAGTGCCTTGGCAGTATGTAGAGTATATACGCTTGTGTGTCAGCACGGTAGATGTAAAATCGGAGACGATGGTAGGTCATAGTGAGTGTACCAAGGACCACGATTCTGGCATCACTGCGGCCAACTGTAGCCAGAATGAGTCGAAGCACTCACACTAACGAAATCGGAACACCGATATTGCGGGGGGAAACGGCTGCAGTAGTGTGAGTGCTTGATATCTGTAAAGAACCTGAGTCCTCTGCACTCGATTGCCCTCACCGTACCGCGGCTCACACAAGCGCAGGTTCCCTTCCTGCGGCATTCACCTCCCCAAGCGATCGGCTCATTCTGGTTCAAGTTGATCGCCCCTGACGTACATGATGTACAGGGTACAGCAAAGTTCATGTTAAATATCTGCATCGGGCGGGTTGAGCTGGCCCGTTACCCGGCCGTTTCTACTTCACTCGGACTGGCCCGGCCCGCGCTCGCCCGACGATGCCAAACCCGCCCATACCCGCCCGCAATCATGCTATACCCGCTCAGTCCGTGAAATCCGCGTTAGACCTGCTCAGTCCGTTCCATCCACGCCATACCCGTGCCCCGCTCTCCCCGCTTTTCACTCCATGTTCGCTGTTATCCATTGTCAGAGAGGGTCGGAAACATAAACCGAATCACTATTTTATTTACATTACAACCATCCACAAAGGGGACAACATAAAAATGATATTACACTGTACACATATGCTATAAGGAAAACAAAATACTGCTATTAAACATAACTTTAATGTATGGCCTATATAATTACATACTAGTTGTATAAACTATGAATATATTACAAAACAAAATAGATAACATTCTGATAAAATGTAGAATATAAATAATGGATGTAACTAAACAAATACAAATTAATTTTGTATACTATGAATATATGGAAAAACAAAAAAAAGATAAGTTATTCTGACAAAACACAGAAAATGAATGTTTGGATATTAATGTTCAGGATTGGTTGGGCCGCGGCATGACGTCATGCGCGCCGAGAAGCCAGCGTCGTCGCGGCGAGCACGTACCGCGCTTCTCGCCACAAAGTTCGACGATTATCGTGGCGAATTCGGCAATCGTCGCCAGAGACTAAGGCCGGGATT